AAAAAAAAAAAAATGATGGGTTCTTTTGTTTGTTTGTTTGTTTGTTTGTTTTTTGCAGTTTTTGGCCGGGGCTGGGTTTGAACCCGCCACCTCCGGCATATGGGGCCGGCGCCATAACCACTGTGCTATGGGTGCCAACCCTAAAATGATGTTGTTTGACTTTTTATATTGTAGTGATTTTTTTGATAACAGCTTTATAGAGATATAATTCATATACCACACAATTTAGCCATTTAAAGTGTATATAATTCAGTAGTTTTTAGCATATTCAAAGAGTTGTACAAACATTACCACAATCAATTTTAGAACATTTTTATCACTTCCAGAGAAACTCCATACCTATTAGCATTCACACCATGTTTCCTCTCCATCAGCCCTATACAAACTTCAGTTTGCTTTTATTTTCGTATTTTGGACATTTCTTATAAATGGAATCATATAATATGTGATTTTTAGAGACTGGTTTCTTTCCCTTAGCATGTTTTCCCAAGTTCATCCATGTTGTAGCATGTTTTACTTCGTTTCTTTTTGTGGCTGAATAATGAGCCATTGTATGGATATTACTCATTTTTAGTATATGCATATTTTTAGAAATGCATATTCATCTATTTTTTCTTTGGTTGCTTGTGCTTTTGGTGTCATATATAAGAAGCCATTGCCTAACTCATAGCCACAAGGATTTAATACTATATTTTTCTTCTAAGAACTTTATACTTTTAGCTCTTAAAATTTGTCTTTTGATGATACATTTTAAGGTACTTAGTGTGAGGTAGAGGTCTAAATTCATTCTTTTGCACATGGATATCAGTTTTTCCAACATCATTTGTTAAAACGATTCCCTTGGAATTGTTTTAGCACCCTTGTCAAATACCAGTTGGCCTGGCCAGGTGCAGTGGCTCATGCCTATAATCCTAACTCTCTTGAGAGGCCTAGGCAGTAGGATTACTTAGGTCAAGAGTTCAAGACCAGCCTGAGCAAGAACAAGACCCTGTCTCTACTAAATAAAAATGGAACAAATTAGCCAGGTGTGGTGGCACATGCCGGTAGTGTCAGCTACTTAGGAGCTAAGGCAGGAGAATCACTTAAACCCAGGAGTTAGAAGTTGCAGTGAGCTATGATGACACCAGTGGACTCTAGCCAGGGTACCAGAGTAAGACTCTTGTCTCAATAAACAAAACAAAACCAACTGACTATACATGTCAGTACTTACCACAGTGTTTTTAATACTAATATGATAATTAATATTCTAAAAATATATATGGCCTTTGTTTTTATAGGTTACTATTCGAGCTTCACTTGGACCTGTCCAGTCAAAATTATCAAGTACATCTTCTAGTGGTTCTTCGAGCACGTCTTCTCTTCAGGTCTCACCTCTAGCTGCTAAAAGTCTTATGAATGCAAGTACGTTTAAGATGAGTAGGTCTCATGCAGCTGCATCCACTTCAAATAAGCCTAATACAAGTAAAGCAAGTACATCTAAATACAGAACAAAGCCCTATTCCAAGCAGAAGAGACACCGCAACAGAAAAAATACAATCAGCATAGCTTTGAAGAACTTAAGGTAATATCTTTCATTCCTGATACACTTAATACTATTTAATCTTAAACATTAGAATGTTATTATAATTTATTGTATCATATTTACATCATAATCATTTATCTGGAATAAAGATCATGCAAATGATAAAAAAAGTACTCTTTATAACAGCTGAGCAGAACTTGAATTACTATATTCTATAACTTTCTCATTTACACTAATCTTTTTTTTTTTTTTTTTGCAGTTTTTAGCCGGGGGCTGGGTTTGAACCCACCACCTCTCATCTGGGGCCAGCACCCTACTCCTTTGAGCCACAGGCACTGCCCTCATATATATTTTTTTTTGAGACAGAGTCTTATTATGTCACCCTTGGTAGAGTGCTGAGGCATCACAGCTCACAGCAACTTCCAACTCCTAGCCTTAAGCGATTCTCTTGCCTCAGCCTCCCAAGTAGCTGGGACTATAGGTGCCCGCCACAACACCCAACTATTTTTTGGTTATAATTGTCATTGTTGTTTGGCAGACCCAGCTGGGTTCGAACTCACCACCTCTGGTATTTGTGGCTGGTGCCCTAGCCACTAAGCTATAGGCACTGAGCCTAATCTCATATTTTGATGCTTGAATTGGTTAATTTGGTCCTTTTTATTGCAGGGAAACATTAACTGGTGTTATTTATTTATTTATTTTTTGGAGACAGGGTTTTCCTCTATCTCCCAGGCTGGAATATGGTCGTGTAATAATAGCTCACTGCAACCTCAGACTAATAGGTTCAAACCATCCTCCTGCCTCAGCCTCTCAAGTAGCTGGGACTACTGGCAGGTGCCACTATACCCAGCTAATTTTTCTTTCTTTTTTTTTTTTTTGTAATTTTTCTATTTTTTGTAGAGACAGGATCTTGCTCTTGCTCTGGCTAGTCTTAAACGCCTGGCCTCAAGTGATCATTCCTCCTCAGCCTCTCAGAGTTCTGAATTACAGGCACTAGCTACTGTACCCAGCCCAATGTTAAATTTTTTGCTCTTAGTTTACCTGGTTGTTTCAAAGCAAATTTTCAGATTGTAAGGGTGTATTTAAAGATTGAACTTAAACATCTTGGCTTCAGTTAATAAAATGTTAATAAGGCTTTCATGTATTATTTTTGCTTTATAATACATATATTTTTTTCTGTCTCCATAGGTGTCAGTGGGGAATTCACAAGTGCATTGAGTGTCATTCTAAAATAAAAGATTTTGCAAGCCACTTTTCTATATATATCCACTGTGATTTTTGCAAATACAACACTAACTGTAACAAAGCCTTTATAAATCATATGATGAGGTAAGTTAAACATGTAAATAGGCAATCAAAATTGCCATTTTGGAAGTTTGTTTTTTGGAAACAAAGTCCTATTAGAAGCAAGGTTGTTTTATCAAGGAGCTAAAAGGGTCATGCAGTAGAGAACTCTTAGGATGTTCCTTATACTGTTTTCCAATGTAGTAACTCTTAAAATTACTGGGAGAAAAACTATAAGAGCGGTTAGACTAATGAAATTAGAATGAGTATGAAGGAAATTTGTTTTTCTATGAGATTTTTTTATGTCTTTTAAAAAATAGTTATATTAAATGTTTTCAATATATTTATCAGATAAATATAGTTGGCTCTCTATATCCATGAATTCCGCATCTGTAGATTCAAACAACTGTGGATTAAAAATATTTTCTTTTTTTTTGTTTTGAGACAGAGTCTCACTATGTTGCCTTCAGTAAGGTGCTGTGGTGTCACAGCTCACAGCAACCTCCAACTCTTGGGCTTAAGCTATTCTTTTGCCTCAGCCTCCCAAGTAGCTGGGACTATAGGTGCCCACCACAATGCCTGGATTTTTTTGTTACAGTTGTCATTGTTTAGCTAGCCTGGCCGGGTTCAACCCACCAGCCTCGGTGTTTGTGACTGGTGCCATAACCACTGTGCTATGGGCACCAAGCCTAAAAATATTTTGTAAATTGCATCTATATTGAACATGTATGGGCTTTTTCTCTTATCATTATTTCCTAATCAATACACTATTACAGGCTCAGCACCTGTAGCTCCAGTAGCTAGAGTGCCAACCATATACACCAGAGCTGGTGGGTTCGAATCCAGCCTGGGCCTGCCAAAGAGCAATGACAACTACAACCAAAAAATAGCCAGACATAATGGCAGGCGCTTGTAGTCCCAGCTACTTGGGAGGCTGAGGCATGAGAATCACTTAAGCCTAAGAGTTGGAGGTTGCTGTGAGCTGTGATAGCACTCTACCCAGGGCTGCAGCTTGAGACTCTATCTCAAAACAACAACAACAAAAAAACCCAGTATGACAACTATGTACATAGCATTTACATTGTATAAGGCATTATAAGAAATTTAAAATGATGGCTTGGCACCTGTGGGTCAAGTGGCTAAGGCTCCAGCCACATGCACCTAAGGTGGCAGGCTCGAATCCAACCCCGGCCCGCCAAACAACAATGATGGCTGCAGCCAAAAAATAGCCAGGCGTTGTGGCGGGTGCCTGTGGTCCCAGCTACTTGGGAAGTAGAGGCAGGAGACTTGCTTGAGCCCAGGAGCTGGAGGTTGCTGTGAGCTATGATGCCATGGAACTCTACCCAGGGTGACAGCTTGAGGCTCTGTCTCAAAAAAAAAAAAAAAAGAAATGATTTAAAGTATATAGGAAGATGTGCATAGATTATATGCAAATGCTGCCCCATTTTATATCAGGGACTTGAACATTCACAGATTTTGTTACCTATGGGAAATCCTGGAACCAATCCCCGTGAATATTGAGCAATGGCTATATATGTAACCTCATGAGTGTTACCCTCTTTGAAGCAGTCACTTTGAGACGCTCCAGGGTTTTTTTTTTTTTAATCGTCATCAGTAGATTGCCATGGCATTATAGCTCACAGCAACCTGAAACTTCTGGGCTCAAGCAGTTCTCTTGCCTCAGCCTCCCAAGTAGCTGGGACTACAGGCACCCACCACAACATGTGGCTATTTTTTAGAGACATCTGACTCTTGCTCAGGCTAGTCTCAAACCTGTGAGCTCAGGCAATCCACCCACCTCAGCCTCCCAGATTTCTGGGATTACAAGCATGAGCCACCGCACCTAGCCTCTTTCTCTCATTTTCCCTCACCTATCTATCTGTCCATTTGTCTTTCTAGCCATATTATCTTTGCAATAATTGAATAAAATGCAAAATGAGAGACTATGGGGCTATTCCAATCATGATGCTACTATTGGAATTCCTTTTCATATGTCAATTTGATTTACATTATTTTAGCACCTACTATACTAGGAAAAGACTTCAGAGGCCACAGTACTTTTGTTTGGATGGAGCTTGCTTTTTTCCTTCAGGATGGATTTTAAGTAGCCAAAACGTGTTCAGATATAGCTATGATAAATTGATCATTCAAATCAAGATAGTTCTCTTTATTTTCAGTTAGAAATAAGGTATAACCAATAAAATAGGTTTTCTTTTTCTTTTCTTTTCTTTTTTTTTTTTTTTTTTTTGAGACATAGTCTCATTTTGTCGCCTTCAGTAGAGTGCCATGGTGGCATAGTTCCCAGCATCCTCCAACTCTTGGGCTCAAGTGATTCTCTTGCCTCAGCCTCTCAAGTAGCTGGGACTACAGCTCCCCCCCCCACCCAGTGCCTGGCTATTTTTAGAGATGAGGTCTTGCTCTTGCTCAGGCTGGCTTGAACCCGTGAGCTCAGGCATGAAGCTACCACACCCAGCCAAAATTGGTTTTCTTATAGATCATGGCATGACCTCTATATTACTTTCTGGTAATGGTTAGCTATTGCTTTGAAGGGTCTGCCCACATTTATTGATGGCTTCACCACCTGGCTTACAAGGTTTGTTTATTCCACTGGATGACCAGCCTGACCTCACCGTACCTTGACTTGTTTAGTGCTAGCATAGCACATCCACCTCTAACTGGTATCCGTTTTCTTACCACTGTCCCATCTTCCTCATGGTACACAGTATTTATTTCGAATTCCCATTACCCCATGTATGTCTAGACTCTTGACCCCTTTTTCCACCCCAGCAGCACCAATCCAATTTCATAGTCCAACTCACCTTCCAGGTCTTCTGTTTTGAATGCTGCCTTGTGTTTGTGCTAAAATCTTTTACATGTTTAGCTTCGGTATCCTTAAATCTTTTATGCTTTTTGTTGTCTGTGCTTCATGCTAGACTTTATTTTGGTCCTGTCTTTTTAAAGACACCTCTTTGTTTTTATCTAAAATACATGTTTTTAGATACCCTCAAAATTTTATTGTAATCTTTTTTTTTTTTTTTTTTTTTTTGAGACAGAGTCTCAAGCTGTGGCCCTGGGTAGAGTGCTATGCTGTCACAGCCCACAGGAGCCTCCAACTCTTGGGCTTAAGCAATTCTCTTGCCTCAGCCTCCCAAGTAGCTGGGACTACAGGTGCCTGCCACAATGCCTGGCTGTTTTTGTTGTAGTTGCAGTTACAGTTGTTGTTGTTTCAGCAGGCCTGGGCCGGGTTAGAACCTGCCAGCCTCAGTGTGTGTGGTTGGCATCCTACCCACTGAGCTACAGGTGCCGCCAATTTTATTATAATCTTTCAGTTATTAACCTTGACTACTTATTATTCAGAGCTTATCTTTTTTGTTTTTCTCACTTAACTTTTTTCTACCTCAAGTTTTTTTCCCCTTGATCCAGACATTAATCTCAGAAAACAGACATGTGCCTTGCACAATGACAACTGTGTGAAGAGATGAAAAAAGAAAAATAGACACATCCCACTTTTTTATAAACAATTTACTAGCTTGTCATGTTTTTATTGTTTGTAATTTGAGTGTTATGCCCATATATAGCTAAGCTGCTCCTTTAAGGGTATCATTCAGGCCATGTGGTGGCTCATGCCTGTAATCCTAGCACCACTCTGGGAGGCAAAGGCAGGGATTGCCTGAGCTCAGGAGTTCAGAACCAGCCTGAGCTACAGAGAGAGATCCTGTCTCTAAAACTAGCTGGATGTGGCTCGTCATCTGAATCTCAGTGGTTAGAGTGCCAACCACATGCACCAAGGATGGCTGGTTCGAACCAGGCCCATAAACATCATTGACAACCACAACCAAAAACTAGACAGGGCTTCTGGCAGGTGCCTGTAGTCCCAGCTACTTGGGAAACTGAGGCAAGAGAATCACTTAAGCCCAAAAGAGTTTGAGGTTGCTGTGAGCTGTGATGCCACAACACTATACCAGGGTGACAAAGGGAAACTCAAAAAAAATGAGATAAATAAATAAATGTTATTCATAGCCTAATCACCAAATATACCCACTTTTTTAAATTCTTCTCTGTGACTTCCTCAGAGTATTTGACATTTCAACTGCTATTTTTCTTCTTACTTTTTAGATATTCTAATTACATTTTCTTCTTTCAACTCTTGCCTCTTTGTAATCTCTTTCATTGTTCCTTAAGCACTCTCAGCATTTTACTCTTTACCTTTCAACTGTAAATCCTCTCATTTCTTTTTCTTTTCTTATTGTAACAGTCTGTTTGGTTTGTCACCCTCAGTAGAGTGCCTTGGCATCACAGCCCACAGCAACCTCAAACTCTTGAGTTCAAGCAGTTCTTTTGCCTCAGCCTCCTAAGTAGCTAGGACTATAGGCACCTGCCACAATGGACAGCTATTTTTAGAGACGTGGTCTTACTCTGGCTTAGGCTGATTTCAAACACCTGAGCTCAAGCAATCTACCCCTCTCTGACTCCCAGAGTGCTAGGATTACAGATGTGAGCCACTGTGCATGGCCTTAAATGATCTAATTTCAATTCTGAGTTTTCCTGAGATCCAGTTTTTGTTTCTATTTGATATTTTTACCTTTGACTCACTGACATCTATGAGGAACAAAAATACATCAAAGTTACTATCTGTCTAGGACTCAAACCACTTTCACCTCAGTACCTTTAAGCTCAGTCTGTTTCAGTGCATCATTGCACAAACATGGAACACCAGCTAGAAATAATACACCATCCCAAGTTTCTGAGGCCTGTGGAGCTGTCTTGATCTGTCACCACACATCATGACTTTCTGAGAGTCTGCCTTCTGCAGTTTATTACTGTGCCTCACCACTACAAAAGTGGTTCTGCACCCACACTCAAGTTGCTCTAAACCAGACCCTAGCTAGACCTCAGTACACCGCTGGGAGGGTTCTCTTACGTCTCTGGGAGATGATAGCCATAACTTTATCCCTAATTCTGAGGGGATTAAATTGGAAAATTTGTTTGGCATGCTGTCCTCTCTTCTCACATTTTCTTTAGGCTCACCTGACTGTCTTGTAGGACCTCCAACCCTGTTCTTTCCCCTTCTGAATTCTCAACTGGCCCAAGAGTCCCTTTATAACCTCTTGCTAATTTCCAATAAGCCCAAACTCTGCATTGTTATCACTTCCATTGAGCTCTTACTGGTGATTTACCCTTTATAGAACTGACAGCCTCCACTTCTACTCTTCTAAGGGCCTTGTGGGACCCTTAGCTTTTTCCCTACTTTGGTAGTACTTTGCTTCCCTTGTTGCCTCAGGTTCCTCTCCCTGAATGGTGTACCCTCACTCCTACCCAATGTGGACTTTTATCATAGGCTTAAGCTCTGTACATATAGAAGCTTCATTTTCTCAGAGGTTGAATACTTTTATTTCAGAGTACCATTCAGGCTACCTTTATTTTCTCCATATTCAATAGCTAAAATGGCTTTTTTTTTTTTTTTTTTTTTTTTTTGCTTATAATACTCTTGAAGGTACATCTTTTTATTCTTCGTTATTCCCTGGAATGCTCTTCTCCTCCCCTCTCAGTTCACCTTGTGTGAAATATCTGATCACCACAGCTACTCATAAGGATCATTCCTTTCTTTGAGTTCTGTAACATTGAGCTATTTTGACTTATATGTGTCTCTGTTATCTCTTTGAGAGAGGAGCTCTTTGTATTCACCATGGCACCTATTCTGAGGATATTTTCTTGCAATTACAACTAACCAGATTATTTCTTTTCTCATGCATATATATTATGCTGGGATGGGTTATCTTGTGTCTGAGGGTAACTGTTGGTCTGCCATGTTGGCTAGTTTGAGTTTGTCAGTGCAAGATAGGGCTGGTGCTTCTCAAACTTCAGCTTGCATAAGAGTCAGCTGGAAAACTCATTAAAACTGATTTCTGGGCTCCACTGACAGAGATTGATTCAGTAGGGTTGCAGTGAGGCCTAATGGGCTCTGCTGCCTTTAATTTGCTCTCTTTAAAAGTTCTCTTAAGGACTCATTAAATGTTTCACTTTACTGATGTTAAGCAATGGCATTTAAGCACAAGTAGTATTTACTTTCAGGATCAACTAGGTTAGCAGTCCTCAACCTGTGGGTCACGACCCACAGGAACTGTAGTAAAGGGTTGCAGCATTAGGAAGGTTGAGAACTACTGATCTAGGTTATTCCCTCCTCCCCAAACATACTAAGATTAAAAAGTAATAAGTAATTATTATTCATAATTTTCATTATAGAAAAGTACATTATTTATATTACTAGCAAATACATTTTAAATTGTTTACTCTTAAGAGTTAAAAAATTAATTTGATGCTGATTTTTTTTTAACTGACTACTTTTTAAATAGTGGTGAGGTACTGATCATCTAAGAATATTCTCAAGGAAATATATCATTAGAAAATATACACATAAAATGGAATGTAGCTAACAATGTAGAATTAGTCAGAGATGACTTTCTTAGTCCATTCAGGCTACTATAACAAAATACCATAAGTTGGGTGGCTTATAAACAACAGAAATTTGTTCCACACAGTTTAGAGGCTGGGAAGTCTACGATCAAGGTGCCAGCAGATTCGGTGTCTGGGTGAGGGCCCATTCCTCATTGATAGCACGTCTTGTTGCATCCTCACGTGGTGAAAGGGACAAGCTAGCTCTCTAGAGTCTTTGATAAGGACACAAACCCCATTCATGAGGGTTCTGCCTTCATGGCCTAATTACCTCCCAGAGACCTCACCTCCTTATACCATCACCTTGGGGGATTTAAATTTTGGCATGAATTTTGGGAGGATGCCAACATTCAGATCATAGCAGTGACCAACAGAATTTTATTATTTAGATCATGGTCTTGTATTCAAAACTAGGAAATTAAACGTAAGTTTGAAATATGGTTATAAAATTAGTGACTTATTGTATAATAAAATTAAGAAAATCTTGTTTGTCTCTTGTCTTTCTAGCTTTCATAGCAACAATCCAAGTAAACAGTTTCATATTTTTAAGAAGCATTCAGGAATTCTCAGGTAACTAGTTGATCTTTTTCTGTTTTCTCTGTTTGAAAATTGTTATAACTTTTTAGAACCTGATATTGGAGTGCCTGTTTTGGAAATCTAAATGAAGGAATAGGCTCGGCGCCTATAGCTCAACCGGCTAAGGCGCCAGCCACGTACACCTAAGGTGGCGGGTTCGAATCCCCAGCCTGGACCCG